ACAATGACTGCACATCCTGGTGTACTAGCCTTTGGCACAGGTGCGCGATTACCTGCGTGTCAACGACAGGCGAACGTCGCCGCGCTTCTCGTGCACGACGCGTTCGTCTAGCTGTGGGATAGCATTTGGAAAGTGACACATTTTTACCACAGACTCGACGAATATCTTCGTCGAACGCGGGAAAAAAATCAATCGACCTCAGAAAATTATATTGTGCAATTTTACGCGGATCAAATTAACAATTATCGCGTTCGTTTTGACCAGAAACGTTGACGCTGTCGATAGATTTTATTAGAACTATTCTGGAATAGAGTTTCAAGGTACTTTTCCATCGATAAATTAAATGTCATTCCCTGTTCCCGAAGCGATGAAAATTCAATAATCGCGATGCAATTACGGCGGCGAATGCGATTCAAAGAAACCGTACGTCTTCGTCCGAGCGAAACTGTTATATAGTTAAATGGTTGTTTCCGTGTCAAGCGTATACGCGTTCGTTTCCTCTTCGCGTCGAGCCCTGCGTTCCTTAGCGATGCCTGTCTCGTCGACAACTCGTCGCGTCGAATTTAACGCATTCCACGCACACGGCGACAGTGTCGATCCTCTTTTGGCGCGGCTTAAGGCTTGACAATAAGTAGAATGCGCGTGCATCGCAACGCAACTGCATAAAACGATGGTTGACGCCGCGCCGTGATTCAAGCTGCCTTTTTCCATTCAACGCTCGGCAAATGTAGCCCAAGTTTACGGGAAAAACTCCGGTGACGGCCAAAATTTTTATCCTCGCACAAACTTTGAGCAACTGTTCGATCGAATAGACATTCTACTAAAATTCTTAGATGCAGATTTTTGAGAAATACGATTAAAAAGGAAGCTTTGGGTGCTCCTCCTGTCGCCAAAGAGTTCACAAAAATGCTTGTGCAGGTCGTTGCAATAGTAACTTTACAATCGAGACGTTCGATCGTGGACGTATGCATGTTTATTTACGTAATACCGTTTCTCGTGTCGTTCGCGTCCGATTCCCCCGGTTCGATGATAAACTCTTGCGTGTTGCGACCGTTCGATAAGAGTGGCGATTCGTGGAACGCGAAAGAGGGCCCCGTTCTTCTCGGTCGCATTTCTATTTTACAACTTCGAACCGAGAGCGTCCTTCTAATCTCTCCCTCTCCATCTTTTCCCGTGCACGACGAGATTCTAATACCGGCGCGCGCGTTCGCCTTGGCCGTCGTGCAATCGCAAAGAGACATTGACGATCGCCGACTGGCGCGTGTTCCCCCGGTGCTCGTTGCGCAATTCGCGCCGAGAACCGTGCGAAACTCAAAGATTCTTATTGTAACGGCCGCGGCGTTGCGTAACGTCGCGTAACGCCTAAGTACGTGATCGAATTAAACCGTGACGATCGGTACGACCGGCGATATTTCACTCGTAATGAATGAAACTGTCGTCGAGTTTCTCCTACTTCGAAATATTACAATCTCAACTCAATGTCTCGCCGTTTGTTCCGAGTACGTCATCCAACGGATATAACCCATAATAACGATCAAGGATGGACAGAATTTTCTTCGAATTCAAATAACATTTTTTTGGAATTAACTCGAACACGAAGTAAGTTAACCCCTCGACGTACAATTTAATTCCAAATAATTTTTTAAAAGAATAGAGTTGCTTTACGAATACCTCGTGAATGTAAACATGTGTTGATTTTAATATATAAGACTCCATGACGAGTCAGACTCGTTATTGTATGGCAAGGGGTTAATTGTTATTTAACTAACGACGAGTCATCACAAAAGGCGAATGTATTGTATTTGCAAAGTTTACAATTTCTGTGGAACGTCATAGACGCGAAAAGAGTGGCGACGAGTATCTTGTGCCGGCATCGAAGTCTCCAAGACCGAGCAGGGATGCCGTTTGCCGCGCATCGAAGTCTCCAGGCCCGAGCAGGGGATGCCGTGTGTCGCGCATCGAAGTCTCCAGCGTCGCTGGATACAAAGATCTCCTTATACGCGACAGAACTGCGCGAACAAACTTCATACACGCTCTGCATAAGTAACAAACTCTTTTATAGCCGTGGGGAACACGTCAGCGTGTGCTCCAGCAGATCGTCGTTTCGATAAACCGTTGAATCTCATCTAACGGGTAGACGCAATAAATGCTCAAAGTGCATCGACTTGACGCGTATTAATATTCAATGGTTTCTTCGACTTGAGCCGGTAACGGAACGCCGATGCTGGGTAGAACGAGACCTTGGGAGAGTAGAATCGTTCCAACGAGCGCACGATCGTCGGTTTCAACTGTTCTATACAAAATCTTGCGTATTCTTTACCAAAATTACACTTTATCGAGATGGGTGTCTATCTTTTACTCGTCTCGTGATTGAATTATCTCGCTCGGACGTCACAAGTCTTCGAAATTAGCGCCTCCGCCAGAAATACCGAGACTAACGTCACACACGATCGACGAACGCAACGATCGCGCTAATTAGCGTACCGTTTATCGAGAATCTCGAATTTACGATCGCGAAAAGAAACTTTGTCGAGCGTTTCGGGTCCCTTTGACCGGTCCACGCGTCTTTTTTCGGGTTTAATCGACACGCGTGTCGCCTAATGAGGAATAACGTGGCCCGAAAAGTAAATTTGCACCTGCGGCGCGATAATCAATCGCGGGGCCATCGACTTCGTATCCTCGAAACGGCCGATCGCCCGTGCGAGACGAGAGAAAAAAGTAGGAGGAGGGGGAGCAACGAAAACGTGGAACCGGTTCCAGTCCATTTTTCTAAACCAGTTTAGGACCAGCGATTTTGGCCTGTCTACTCACTATACCGTTGCAAAGAGAACCGCGTCGAGCTATCGTCGAGCTACGCCGAGCGGAATAGCCGCCCCGGGCTGAAAACCCAATCAGCGTCCGACGAAATCACGTAACTGGAAATTGTTTTCGATTCCGTAACCCGAAAATCCACGGATTCGTGGCCCCCCTCTCCCCATTTTGTTTCCTGGAACCGTAATTCCCTTCTTCGGCGCTTGTTGCGAAATTTAAACGCGACGCCAATTTCTTTGGCGCCTTACTCGATCGATCGGTCACGCTTCAGAGGCGGGATTTATTCTCGATTAACGAATAAAAATTTTAGAATAAAAGACATTTAGTTAACAAGGGTAATTAATGTGAAACACTCGCCTAAATTTTAGGAACGATCATTGACGCTAATGACTGTGCCCGAATGGGTGGTAACCCGAACTAATCACCGTGCAGCAAAAAATTAACCCTCTCCGACCCAAATTATGTTTGCCTTCTGAAACAAATTACGCGATGGAACCATCGATAGCAGTAATGATGGGATTAAGTTGAGAGATAAATTTCAGCTGAACCCTTCGACTGTGTCCACCATGAATTTGATAATTATAAAATATAATTGTTGATCTATAAAGTTTTAGAGGATAACCGAGCAACTCCGTTCCTTTGGAATGATTTATATGTTCGAGTGCGTTACATCTGAACAAAAAGAAATTGTTTACACACAATACCGTTGTTCCCCGATGGCGGTCGCGCGAGGAGGTTTTTCAACGAGGTGCAGTGCGACGTCAGTGCAATGATTACATAATCGATTTTTAATTCCATCGTTAACCGTGATCGATCACGTTTTCGAGTTACGTTTTTTTCTGGAATAAATCGTATAAATCATCGACCGATTCGACTTCGATAACGTACCATCGATGCATCTTACGATTATATTGATTAATATTATCTTGGATCTTTCCGCTCCAATGTCAATATTCCTGGCACTGTAGATAATGTTTGTAAATTAATAAATTGATTTATAGACGATGGAATCCAATGTTTCCTATAGAAAGTAAATAATCATAGATCGAGAGAACGGTTAGATCTTAGTACAGCGATTGTAACACGTTCGACTATCACCTTTCACGAAAAATGGCAAACTTTTTCAGCGGAAACTTCATTTTAAACTTTTTAATGGGGAGATCCTAATAATACGAGTTCGAAGCCACGGGTTTCCGAAGATTTTGTAACCCCCTTTTCAGATGCTAATGCGAACGTCGAAGCAGCGCAATTTGCACGAAGCGTTGGTCAAAGTCGTTGCTACGAAGTAAATTTGCACACGGGCTCCTAAATTGCAACGGCACCTGTACCGATCGTTTCGTCTGCACCTGCGGGGCCCGGTCCCGAAATATTCTCGTGCGAGTATTCTATCTCTCGTGCGGTCAAGTGCATGAAAACTGCCACTCAAAGTCGACGAAAACTGTGAATTTTAATAAACCATCGAAACCGGCTTCGCAGTTACCGCGCCTCGTCGATGGTTATCGCGGAACACCGCGGCGGAATCGTTATAGTCTCTCATAACGCCATCTTGGGAATTCGTGTCGCCACCCCTTAATACAGCAGTCGTAAATCTCGAAGATTATTTCGAATTAAATCGATCGTTATCGAGGGGCACCGAAAGGGAACCTTTATAACTTCTCCGAACGCGTCATCTTGGAGATTCGTGTTACTAGTCTTAATTATAACAGACTTTTAATGTCTTAGACGGGTTTGGATAAACGAAGTCTATTGGAATTCTTAGATTTTATTAGGAGGGTACTGTTGGAAGATCAATTTTCCAAATTCCATTTTGGGAATGTCACTACTCTGAAATACAGCAGATTCTAATGCCTTAAAATTGAATTAAATTTAGTGTTCCTTATCAACAAGCGTCACAGAAGAATTTATATTTTAGTACAACGCCAACCTAGGACTCTATGCCGCCATTTTTACATACTTGAAATGTTTCAACAAAGAACGAAAATCTTTCTAATTTCTCATAGCACCACCCTTGGAGTTTGCATGATAAGATTTCGAATATTCAACCTGTCTACCCTACGCTAACATCGTTTCTAAATTTCCGTCTACGTTGATGGAAGTTTAGCTATGTTTGAACCATCTTAAATGATATATAACTTGTTCTGAACAGATGAGTACCGGATAAGAACGATTGATAGTCGCGGTTGACTTACATTGGTGCTTATTCACGATAAGACTGAGGGGTTCGGAGCTGCCAAGTGGGCTCTCTTTGCCGCTACAGGGTGGCGGGCTCTTTCCAAGGTGCTGTGCCTCCAGCAGCCTGAGCTGCTGCTGATGCAGCCGGTTCTTGATGAGGAAGATCTTCGGCATCTTGACGGACGTTGGCGCGCGCTAACGTTGTCACTTCACCCTATAGTTTCACGCCACCATTCCCACGGCCGGTCGGAGCCGCGTTCCTCAGAACCATCGACCGCACCAACAACCACTTCGAGTCCACCCGACGATGTACCTGTTGGCGTCGTCGTTCACTGTCAGTTTCGGCCCAAAACGAACAAAACCAACAATAAAAAAAAGAAGAACGAACAGAAACCAGACGAAAACGAAAGTAACGCGCGATTACGTAGAACGTGTCACTCTCGGAGACGAGACAGAATCCCAAGTGTCCGTGTCAAGTGTCAATGGTCCCTGCGCGAGCGTCACGCGTGCTCGCATTCCCGGTCAAAAACCACCTTCGACTCGCGAACTTTATTCCCGTTCTCCGTCGATCACTTAGCGAGCGATCGCTCTTCCCAGTCACTGTCAACAACGAAGCACGGCGTTCACGAAGTCTTGGCCTCTCTGTCCTCTCGGCCAGTCCAAGGTCTCAGTCGTCCCCCTCTCTCCTTTCTCACGGATTTACAGTTATCCGGGACGATCGACGGCTGGCCGCAGATCGAGTAAACGCACACGAAACGACCGACCTCTGGTGAACGACTGAGGCTCCGTTGGTTCCTCGCCAGGCCGGGCCCCGAGCCCCGAGCCCCGAGTCCTGACCCCCCACCACCGCTCTACCCCCACCAACTATCCACGACTGGCCCTCCTTCCCCTTCCAGGCCCATCGAGCACGCTACAGTCCATCCTGATTATTTGGTCGCGCGGGGACCGTTGCCGCCGCCGCCGCTGGAGATGGAAACCGCTCCGGGGACTGCGCATGCGCGTAACGGAGCATCGTACGTGTGCTGAAGCGTGCGAGCATCCTCTCTCCCTCCTTCGTCCACCTCTGTTCGCCGGTTTCCCTCCAACGTCGACGCCGTTTCCCCGTCTCTTTTCAAACGGAGACGCGCGAGTCTTATCCCTGACCGTGTCTCTCGTCTTTCTCCTTACCGTTTCCTCCCCCCCCGTTCCTACCCTCCCGGTTGCACATTGTCTTTACCGGTAGCCGGTTTATTCGTCGCTCGGAGATATGCGGGCTTGTGTTTTTCTTGCGCTTTTCTTTTTCTTATCCTTTTTTTTCTCTTCTCGCCGCTACGACTTCGCGCGCGCGCTATCGGCGCTTTTCATTGACGCAGCGGGACGTTCGAACTTGTCCCCTTTCTCGGAAAAGGTCGCTCGATAAGCGATCGAGGAAGGAAGGAATCTTTATTTTAAGTAACGACCATGTTCTTGGAACACTGATCTTTATGAGAGCTTGCAGGAATATACGTATACTTGAGTTATGTTATTTCTCTGATCATTAGTACTAGGATAGATCAAACAACTTTTCTTTCATCATTCTTTGGACGATTCTATGTAAATTTGCAGGGGTTCCAGGAGTACCAAAGATAGTTTTTAATTTTTCTTTCATCATTCTTTGGACAATTCCAGATTTGCTGGGGGTCGTGCCCCCCAGGGTTGGAGAATCCTGATCCTAAATTGCACTATGTGGTGCACCTGTCATGTTTACTTCCTGAAAATTCCTCGGTGCATCGGAGGATACCTATGGCGAGGAGGAAGATGAGCCACATTACGAGGTTGCGAACTCACGACGTGTCGCACTTCCGCAGGATAACTCTGGCGAACGTTCCAGCCGTGGAACTATGAAACATGCTCGCCGTAGAGAATTCACAACTTCCTCGAGTCGTGTCTATACCACCTGTGCGATACTCCGCGATTGCACGCACGGTTCTCCCGTAAACATACGTATGTACTTACGTACGTGTCCAGGTACTGGTTTATGATGGACGCTCAGGCTCACGGTTAAGGCTAGGTTCCCGTCTCTAACCACTATGTCGGTTATGCTGTCAAGCGGTATACACGTAGCGGCCTAAGTTTGAACCGTGCTGTTACGCCGCGGCCACGTAACTACGCGTCTCTACGGGGTGCTCAAACATTTCCTCGCCACAAACAGTCAAACAAAACTCAACCTTCTCTGCATCGTACTCTACGTGGACTTTAACACTAGTCTCTTTCAAATAAAATACAGTGGAATCTCGACTCTTCAACGTGGATCGAAACTATCTCGAAATCAGTTAATTTTATTTTTAACCCTTTGGATGTTCCTCCATTAAAACTTAAGATTGTAAATCAGATGCATTATACGTGGAAAGAAAGATCGAGCTTGGAAGGGGCTGCGACCAGTATTGAGTCAGACATCCCAGCCATCGTGAGACTTGCAATTCAAGCAAATAATATAATAATAATATAGTTTGTACTCTACTCTTAATTTGATCTCTTCTATCTGTTTCGGATGGAAGATATCGAGTCACCCTGTACATATTTATACCGCACAGCATTCACCATCCGGATCGTGCGATGTTCTGCTTGTCGTGTACAACAATTATTTACATTCGTTACGTTCGAGGGTTACTGACGTTCACCACGTGTCCACGCTTTTTTCCCGCTCGTATATTACGTATTCGTCCATTACCGCTCAAGTACGTTAATTCCCCTCGCATAACAGTTCCGATTTTTTGCCTCGAATAATAAAAATGACGGATTTATAGAACGCTGCTATCTTGAATTATTACGAACCACTTAGCGTTAACTCTGCCAATACAGTTGCTAATTAAGTGAAACAAAAATATATCTTTACCCAATGAGATTCAACATCTCCAACAAAATAAATACAGCCAATTACCGGATACATTGACCTTAAATATTGTAAGAAGGAAACCTGAAATGGCTGCGTTTCATAAATCGATCAATGCGAGGAAAGAAAAAGGTTCGGCGTGACAGTACGAAGTGCAAAAAGCAAGTTGCAAATTGCATCGAACCAGTTTTTGTTCCCGATGTAATTTATCGTTGAATAATTCAGACAATCAAAGTCGATTTAAGAAATCTGCGGATGACCGATCATTTTCCTGTCACTCGCCTCGCACGCTCCTCTCACCCGAAGGATTAAGCGCGTTAAATCATACACCGCCAGGTTAACGATTATGGCCGCGGGATTTCGTGGACGTCGCTTTGCACGTGCGCCGACGAGTTATTTTAGTGTCGGGACCGTTCGAATATTTAAAAATTATATCTTTAGCTTTAATGGTCGATGCTCGTTCCAAAAAACAAGTAAGCTGAATTTTAAACTTATGAGAGATAGATGCAACGAAATGGGAGGAATCTTCAGGAACCTTTTCCATCCTTCGAGCTGGAGGCACTTGTTCGAATTTGGGCCAAGAAGCGTCCACGGTGAATTATGTCCCCGACCGTAGCACGAATTCGGCAGGTACCCTCCAATCTCGACGGATCTCCGTATGGGAAACTCGTAGTTTCGAGAAAAATCCGACGTTTACGACCTTCTTCACGGGGGACACGAGATGGAATCTCGGACAGCGAGAAACTCGGGACCATCCGAAGATTTCTCCCACGATTGTACAATTTTTACCAGGGAATCATCCGAGCGCGAGTATACTCGTTTCCTCGACACTTTTAGAGTGTTTTTCATCGAATTTCCGGTGACGAACTTTTAATCAGATACTCCCTTAAGTCTTCTCTATTTAGAATATAGGTTTTATCGTTGGCAAAGTCACCTGTAGCCTGTTCAATAGCTCGATTTGTATCGAGAGTCTTTGAAAAGCGCAGGGTGCACTGTCGAGGTAAACCTCAGAGGTGTCGTGGTCTGTTTGCCCTTTTGAAATGAGACGTAAAGGGCAGGTAGTAAAAGTTAAGACACTCCGAGGAGGAAGTCACAACTATTTGTGTATCGTTAGGTGTCCACACAAATGCGTTCCCTTTGTTCGACGCGACGGAATACCGGGAAGAGCTTATTGCATTCGATCTCCCACTGTGACCACGACAATGCGAAAAACCTGATTGGAAGGTTGAATTTTCGAGCGCAAAAATTACGTGCAGTTTACTGTTACGTTACTGGAATTTTACTATTTGTTTAATGCTTCGTTGACAGTCGATTCGAGCATGGTATTCCTGCATTACGTTTTACGTTTTACGTTTCCAACGAATCGTCTTCCCCGACGATGATAAAATGAATTCAACAGCGATTTTAAAAGAATTTAATTATCCTGCGCTGTTTCACATCGCCTCGATGGTGGGAGGATATTAAAAGAATTATATGCAATACCATTACGCAAAGTTCTATTCTATACCTATACCTGCATATATATTTCTATCAAACTGTTCACGCTGATAGAATTTTTTTTTCTCTCTCCAACAACTGATTCATATTTCCTCTTGGCAGCGAGCAGAGTATTATGTAAAGTGCAAAGGCGTTATAAAACGATATCGTTCCGTCTCCATCCGATTCGCAGCCGACTGGAATTAATAATCCATCCACCAGAGAGGATTTGTTCGTCGGGTTTTTATTTTCTTCGCGTTGCGGGCACGATCGTCTTTATTTGCATTCGCGCAGCCTGTTATTTTCAGTTATTACAACTTTACTGAAAAATAATTATAATCTGTGCTCTAATCGCGAATCGACGCCACTTCGAACTCGTTATTCGCAGCGTTGTTCAGAATCAACATTTTCCATGTAGAAAATATCTTCACACATTTATTAAGCGTTGCTTAAGTATACTTTATATACTTCAAGACGAAGGTTGTAATTATATTCTAATTCAGACATTTTTTGCTGCGAATTCTGGACAATTTGATTTGGCAAAGCAACAATGCTGCTTCTTGTGTATAAAACAGTCTCATAGTTTTCAAACAGTCTCAACAAGCGGATGATTGATCACTAGGAAAACACATTCAACAAGATGATCAAACTCGACGCGTCGCGTTTTCTAGTGACACAGCAGTTTACAATATTTTTGTATTTTCTGACAGTAATGCAATTGTTATCTTGTATCATATACAGTGTAATGTATTTATAATATGTAAAAATAAATTTAAAATGATTGAATCTTCAAGTATTCTATTTTTTTAAATTTTCTTCAAATTGAAAATTATCTATTTTAAATTGTGAGGCAGTTTCTGCAAAGATCGCGGAATAAATCGAACGCCAATCGATCGTATCGAGTCGGTATCAATAGTCACGGTGGTCGACGCGTTATACGAGAACCGAATGCGCATTTTATGAAAAGTGGTCCAACGAGAGGAGAGCCTACTTTCTCCTCTCGAAGCGTTCCCTTGTTAACTCGTCGACCACCGATTGCTCGACGTCTTTCTCTTTTGTGGAACATCATTTCGCCTCGATTACTGCTGCGTAACGATTATGCATTCGTCCAGGAACACGACGTCCATCCAAGAGGAAAATGGACGCCACTTCCGTGGCAAGACGAGACCTCTTTGAAAAATCTATCCTCTTCATCGATTTAAGGATGTTTGAATGGTCAAGAATGTAAACAAAAGTTTACTACTTTACAATTTTGGAATTGCAAGGAAACGGGAAACCTGATTGAATCTTGCACGAATCTTCAATTGAATGCAGAGTCCGTAATGAAGACTATTTTCGAATCATCTATCGCAACATCCAGGCGTCTTTGATCATCTTTCCTCCATTAAAGGCCTAGCATTAGTCAGCTAATTACACAAATTCTGCCCACTGTACCT